ATAGTGGCACGTGAGTATGTCGCCGTCGGCAAAGCACGCGGCCATCTCGTCGATCCCGCACGTCTGGGACGGCCGCAGCAGCTTGCAGAACCGGCCTGTCGTGTCTCCGTTCGCGTTGAAGGCGCCGGCCTTGCAAAAGCCGACCCACAAGTCCGTGTTCTCGTCCGAGTCCGGGCCTTGCGCGTCGATACGCACGCTAAAGACGTCGGCCGGCGACCCGGCCATGACGCAGTTCCACGAGTCGGACATGATCTTCTTGGTCGTCATCGTTTGCTTGTCGTTCGAGACCGACGTCGTCATGCTGCACTTCAAGACACTCCAGCGCAGACCGTCCACGCGCGGCTTCTTGGTCGTGGGCGAAGCAGTCGTCATACTGCTGTGCGCACGCTTGCCCGACGATGTTGCAGCCGTCGTGCGCTGGGTGGCTGCGACGTCTGGCGAGCTGGTCGCGCTGCTGGCTGTTGTCGTAAGCTCCATGTCCAAAGCTGCCTGCGGAGAGCGCGGTGCGTCGTCCGAGAGGCTTGGCTTGGCGGCGGCGGAGGTGCAGGCGTCGCCCTTGTCGCCGGTCATGGTGTGGCAGTGACAGTGGTGGAGCCGAAATGGTAAACGCGGCTCGATTGGGCATAAAAAGAAATAATTATAGCCAATCAAAAGCGATGATAAAGTGCAACGGTCCGATTCTGCCACGTCACACGGTCCCCAGGACTCATCAATTCAACGCCCAAACGAGAGCGACTCGGCCAAGGACTTGAAGCTGCGATGGTCCAGTGATATCTGCCCAATGGGCCCATACTTGGTCCTCTAGAGAAAGCCGCACGCGCGCAGGCTGTTGCATGTTGCGAGCATCAGGCGACGTCGCAGGCAGCTTGGTTGCGTTGTCTTTGACAAGATATGGATGTAGGCACCGTATATTACTGCTTGTTGCGCGCGCGCTCTCCACGAGCAATGCCCGATGCATATAGACCATAAGGGGAGTCAATTACTTCAAGTTTTTTCTGTGGCTTTTGTATGGACCACACGAGCGTCCACTTTGCCACGTCTGTGTATTCACGCCTGCGTATTGCCAACTCACTCGTCGATTGCTTGATCAAGGACGAGCTGTCCAGTGCTGGCTCTAGGATTTTAACCCTATCTCAAAGGCTTTTCCGATGCTAGAACGACAGGATTACGTACTTGACTATTTTCAGTGGTTGGCAACGCCAAGAAGTGGAAGAGGTTTTCCGCGCCAGGCCGAGCAATCTAGAAGTCCGATTCCAAGATCGCACACGTGACAAGATCCAATATCGAGGCGCAGAGCACAAGCGAGCTCGAGCCATTTCCAAATTGGTAGTGTCAGTTAAACAACTAACCTGCCTCGCCCACCACTGGCATGGCGGACACCAACCGGTTACCGCCAAGTAGTTCAGTCTGGATTGAGGAATACTACCTCGCTACTGTTTGCAGTGCATTTGGAAATCGTCGCGGCGCTGGTGACCGCCATCTTGTCCGTGGAGATGCTCGTCGGCGCGTTCTCGTTGCCGTCGCGGCGCAGCAGGAGCTCTCGGACGATGGTTGCAGCAGTTGGTCGTGTCTTTGCGTTGAACGCGAGACACTTGTCGGCGAGATTCTTGAGCCAAAGCGGGCATGCCGCACTCATCGTTGGCCCGTATGCACCAGAGCTTCCACGTTGCTGCGGTCGACAAGCTACGAGTAGGGCTCACAGAGCGTGTCGAGCTCGGTCAAGATGACGCCAAACGAGTAAATGTCGGTGGCCGTCGTGTACATGCGTCCTTCGCCTGCATGATCCGGGTCCCGGAGCACCTCGGGCGCCATCCAAAACTTGGTGCCGACTGTCTGCGCCGAGCCAAGGTCACCGAGCCGGACGTAGTGGGGTCTCGAGAGAAAGAGTGTTGAAACTCTTGACGTCGCGATGAACCACGTTGCGACGGTGGAGGTCGGCCAGCGCCAACGCCAGCACCAGCGCGACCTCCATCGTCAAGAGCTTCATCTCCACGGGCACTCCAAATTGCTTGAGATGGAGATAGTTGTGCAAAGCACCGAGCTCCATAAACTCCATGATCATCGTCGGACTGTACAAGAGGGTCCGCGGTTGGACAGCGTGCGGCTTCTGCGAGCCATTGTCAAGGACGGCGAGCAGTGGCAGGAGGTATGGCGACGTGCACCCATATCGATGACGTAAGGTTATGTACACCCCCGTACTTGCGCATCGTGTGAGCTTCAAGCCCAAAGCTCTTCCTAAGGCGCGGGTTGGGAACCTTGGGACCTTTTGTGACCACGGCCTTGCCGCCGTACGAGCCAACACTGACAGTGACACCAAAGATTTCCCGCTCGATGACGAGCTCGTCGGCCGTAGCCTACAGTAGTATATTGGATTCATCCACTAGACAATATATGTTGACGCGGTACCGCAGTTGCATCTGGGTACCGATAAGGATAGAGCACTTGTGCGACAACGTCGCTGGCTTGCCGGATCGTCAATGCCAGGAGCGTCCACCCATCTTGCTCCTACGATCCTTATTGAGTATCGATGACGCTTGACGATGCGTCGTCGGGTCGGCGCCCATCGCCGAGAGGGAATGAAAGCACGACGTCGGCGTGGCCGGCCAACACTGCCTGCACCAACGTCACCTCCTATGCAGACGGTATTGTCGTTATCCTTCTACGGTGGACACATCGGCGGGCTGCGATCGCTTTGCGAAGATGCTCCAGTCGTGGACAACGGGCGGCTTTTGCGCACACTCAACGCCCTTTTCGTCAAGAGAAAGAGTTAAGCCGAAAACTCAGCGTACTCCAACTCTTGCCAATTGCGTGCATGCCAGGAGGAGGTGCATGGAGGCGCATCGTGGTGGCCGTTTTGCATCGCGGCACCGCGACGACAGCCACAAGCACCGTTGATGATCAGACGCTGTGGCTACTATTCCTTTACCTTCATCATATATCGCGCCATCTCCATTCCTCTCCACGCGTGGCCGGCACATGCAGCATACAAGCTTCCCACGCGAGGTCAATTCCTTCGGGAGGGTTCCTTCATTGGCCATTTGGATGCTCGCCGTCGTAGCGTGCATGGCCGTGGGCATGGTTGGTATCCATCGACGCAGCTCGACCTCACGCATGGGCCATGGCCCTACATGTACCTCGCCTGTCCATCGTCTGGCGACCACGACCGCAGCAGCAACGTCGACACCGCTGCCAGGCACGTGCCACAACACATCCTAATCCGATCTTTTTTTAAATTCTGGTCGGCTATCTTGAAGTTTGTATACCGCATGGAATGTGCCCAGGGATTGTCCCGTGCAGGGCGAAGTTCGAAGCGGATAGCCTGTGGTCATCCAACACCACTGGAATAGTGTGAACATGGAGCGCTGCGTCAAGCGTGGTCGCAACAGATGATACGCAAATACCTGAGATAGTGTATGCATCCAAAGGTCAAAAGTACACGATTTAGAGGTTGTTGAATAAATAGTGACATTTGATTACAAATCGCTGGCGTGGCCTGATATTTGTATGCGAGACCGAAGTTCGCACTTGAAGCTAGGATCCAAGGGCGTCGGCCGCTCACTTTTGGAATCTCTCTCCGATGAAGACCGCCGCTGCCTCGATCGCCCGCCGCTTTAGCCACGCCGCTTCGCCGCGGGTACGACGAGCTCATGCAAAGCTAGACGGCGAGGTTGACATGGGTATGTAGGACGTTGTCATTGTCAGCTACGCGCGTACGCCGATCGCTACGTTCAACGGTGCGCTCTCGAGCTTGACCGGCCCCGAACTCGGTGCGATCGTCAACAAGGCTGCGATCGAGCGTGCTGGTATCAGCGTGAACGACATCCAGGAAGCGTACCTCGGCAACGTCGTGAGCGCTGGCATTGG